GAGAGAGAGAGAGAGAGAGAGAGAGAGAGAGAGAGAGAGAAGCTAAATGCAAGGGGGAATGGCTATATCAGTGATGGCGAACCTTTTAGAGACCGAGTGCCCAAAACCCGCCCACTGCCCGGCCTGCTCTGCCCCTGCCCGCCCCCTGCTCTGCCCACCCACAGGGCCATGCACTGCCTCAATGGCCCGCCGTAGCAGATCACCCAGGCAGCCCTGCAGCGCCATGGCAGCCACGCCCTCCGCCCACACCCCGCAGCATCATCTGCACGCTATGGAGCGCAAGAGCGGAGTCTTGTCCCTGCTGCCCGGCTATGTCCTTGGCTGTGCTGCTCCGTGCAGGCCGCGCCTGGGGGCGACTCTCCTCCAGGGGGGCTGCTGGAGAGGAGGGGGCCACAGGGAGAGGCGGGGCTGGGGCAATGGCACGTGTGCCCACAGAGAGGGCTCCGAGTGCCGCCTCTGGCACGCGTGCCATAGGTTCGCCACCACTGGGCTATATTGTAAATGTTTGAAACAACTAGAAAGGATTGAGCATGAGTATGGAACTAAGATCCTCCCTGTGTCTCGGAGCTAACAATGGGAGAACTAAAACTCACTTTGGATGAGATGGTATTGCCACTGAATTTGGAGCCTAGGCTTGGTGATTGGGAGATTTGACTTATTAAGACAAGGTTGTATTTCCCCTTCAGGATCAGAACCATAATTTGGGAGTCCTTTTGGATCCAGCATTGGTACTGGTCAGCCGTAGTAAATTGATGCCAGCAGGAGACATTTATTAGCTTTCGTGATAAATTTGGTGCACCCATTCCTGGAGTTCAGAGATGTAGCAAATGCACTGATCACACAAGATGATTTGGAAACTGCAATTGGCCCAGAATGCAGCTATGCTGACAAGCCATATTGCTCCCACAGGTTCAAACAGCTGTTTCTTACTGTTTAAGGTATCCACAATGGTCTATGAAGTGTTTTATAGCGGTAGTTTTTAATTGTTACAGTATATTCAGTTTTAAGTTGACTTTTAGATTTTGTAAGTTGTCTAGAGCCAGAATAATGGAATAACATGTAAAGTCTTTCCCTCTAAGATAAAATTGGAAATAATGATTTTTCATAAACAGCAAATCCAATTTTCTCAATGCTGAAAGCATGGTTGATGGAAGAATCAACTTTGATTGATGTTTTATTAATGTTAATAATGTTCAATTAAATGCTTTTAATATTCGTAATGTGCTTGAAGTATTTTTTACACATACCGTGTAAGTAATCATTATTAGCTGCAATAATAGATATTGAGGATCTATTTTGAATTTATACACTTCATAAATTTCACCGCAAACAGAAAAACCTATGAAATACAATGGACATTGAGGTTGAAATCCTAAGCATAATTACAGTGAACATATTCTAAGTATCCATACATAAAATTCCTCTGGGAATGTGCAACGATAAAGTGTAGCAGCAGCCAAGAATTCTGACAGATTGAAAGCTTATTCTGTACTCTGGACAAGGACTTCTTACTTTATCACAAAGGTCCCAGATCCGTGCAGTTCCATCATTACTAGCAGATATAAAGATATCTTTGGATGGATGAGTTGCCAAGCCCCAAATTTCTCCTTCCATGTGGCTATCAATTAGAAGATTAGACGCACCATTTTTTTCTCCAACTTCAAGGATTTCTCCATCTTTGGTCCCCACTAAAATTTTACCCTGTAGACATTTCAAAGGCATGTTGGATTAGAAAAACAACATACAGAGGACTCTTTGTTCAATATTTATGTTGTTCAATTAAAAGCAGGGAGAATAGGAAGGAAGAAGCAAAAGAGTGCAAGGACAGCAGTCTGGAATAGAAATTATTGTGAACTGGATTTTCTGACACAATTTACAAATGTTTAATTTGTATTTTTTTTCTTAAAAAATAAAATAAAAACCATACCTCTCATGCTGTGACCACATAACCTTAGGTAAATTTATGCTATACAATTCTAATGGTATTGGATCAGTTTATCTCAAAGATGATGTGAAATCTCTTCCTCAAAAATAGTTCCCAGAATTCTCGAGGGAATGGGAATTACACTGCAATAGATTTTTCTCTTATAAAGAAACATACAATGATAAAAATGCATAACATAATGGCCAGAGGGTTAAAAGTCTTCTAAAAACTGTTGCCAAATTTTAATATCACTGAATGGGAGAGTATTAATTATAGTAAGTTGTAATGAAATTACATTTATATGTAACTGTATAGAAAATTGTCCTGGTTCTGCCTGCTGGTTTTTGGAATGCTGTTTTGCCCTCATTATGCCAGTCAAAATGTGGGACTGGAAAAAACTGCATACTCTGCACAGAATTATTCCGATTAACAGAAGATTTACTGTATAAGATACTTTCAGACAAGAAGCTTTTTTCAGGGGCTGTCCCAGCTCTATGGTACAAAGCCAAGACGATCACTATCTTGTTATTATTCTAGAAAAAGTATAAGATTACTGTATCTTTTCCACTAGGATTTTGAAGAATATCTTGTGCAATCTGAGGGCTATTATATACTGTATTCTTTCAATACTTGTGATGTTAAGGTTGTCGGTTTTATGTTATATCTGGAATATTAAGTTTATATGATTATATATTTTTAATTTTTTCATTGTAAGCTTCCTGGAAACTATGATTGGGATAGCATATTGGACACAATTCAGAGAGTACACTTTGGTACCAGTGGTTAACAGGCAATATGGGTATAATCATATCAATGGTCCCTCGCTTGGTCAATTGCTGGAATGACGTGAGATGAGATCAGTGAGAACAGCAAACATTATATTTCTGTTATGCAAAATGATTGTTTTATTTAGTAATCTTTCTCTATTTTCCACTGTGTGATGCATGCATTTCTCAAAAGCAATTTCGAATCTGTAGTGGGACCATGGTAGTCAGTTTGGTCTAGGGCAGGGGTAGGCAACCTTGGCTCTTTTATGACTCGTGGACTTCAACTCTGCACAGCTGGCTCAGGAATTCTGGGAGTTGAAGTCCACGAATCATAAAAGAGCCAAGGTTGCCTATCCCTGGTCTAGGGGTTAAGGCACCAGGCGAAAAAGTGGGAGGCCATGAGCTCTAGTCCTGCTTTAGCCATAAATGCCATGAAAGAGTGACCTTGAGCCAGTCACTCTCTCTCAGCCCAACAAACCTCACAAAATTATGGTGATGGAAAATAGTAGGAGGAAGGTGTGTCGGATATGTTTGCCAACTTGAGTTATTGATA